CATGACTGTATATTCGTTTCAGCCTCGCCTTTGTATACAGCAGAGGACTTGGATCCCATCTGGCGATTTTTGTTTCAGTCATACTTTTTTTTGTTGGCTTACGGCCAACATAATTCTGAGCACTGGCCATATTGTCTTATATCATGTTCATGTATGCAGTTATGATAAGCGAACTTAGGTATAATTCTGTATTTTGGATAGTGTGCAAAATTTTTTTTCATATGTCTTAACGTTTGATTTCTCCATAATGCGAAGGCATTTCTTATGTCTCTCTTTTTTGTAAAATGTGATCTAATTTAGCTTAATCTAAAAAATTTCCTTAACTATCTACGAAATAGGTTTCGAGATAACACATCATGAATACTTCTCGAAATAGAAGTCTTGATTTGAATAAGTTTGTGCACAGTTAAATATTCAACTGTATGTTTTAGCATTGAATCCATTTTCGTACTTATCCAGTTGGTTATCTGCTTGTGGATCACCTAATATTCCATTTAAGTCATTTTTTGCTTCTAAAGATTGCGTTTTATTTTTAATTAATTTTATATCTACTTTATATACTATAAAATCATATACGTATTTTCTCAATCTTTTGCAGGGCGTGCCTCATTGATTAGAGGTAATTTGCTCACAAGTCATGGCGATCTTGGCTCAGGAGGTGAACGTCTACTTTTGCGTCTAACAGAATCTAGTGGTATACGTATCACTGGCCTCGGAACAGCGATCGGGAACTTGACAGGCACTGGGTCTTCTCGATTGACTCCAGGACATAATTCTGGCTCCTCAAATTCTGTCATGAATCACAATCCAACTCTTACTCGAGCTCTCTTTCCTTGGTTGACTGGCGCAACTCCAGAATTGGTTGTCAGTAATGCTGGAGGAGTAGTGGTACCTCGTGGCAGTGGCAGTATCAGCTTTACTACTCTCAATAATGCATCAGGGAATTTCCTGGATTTCCATACCTCTAACCCACCAAGTAATCTCTTAATCGGCCACGCCGCAAGTGGTATTGGCTTTGGCACTTTTGACCTTGCATCTACTCGAGGTAACGGCCTATCTACAGCTGTTTTTAGTGATCATTCAAACATTTCTGGAGCCACTTCTTTGCCTAGTCAACATCCTGTTTTGCAGGTAGGTTTTGCCGTCTATCAATATTCCCTTAAAATAAGATTTAATTTTTTCTTTTCTATTATTTGCTTTACACCAATTTCTTTACTAGCCCTGGTGGGCAAAACTGTTAGTGATACATTTCTTTCCTTGGGAATGAATAATTACTATTATTAACTACGAAGAGTAGTTGGGTTTCGGTGAATCTCTCAAAATGACATTCAGGGGAGATTTTAATTTCGTATGAGAAAACATGAAGAAATTCGTTGGTTGATTTCGTCGGAAGATGATGGCCGATTCCAGTTGTTTTGCAGCATTTTGGCTTTAATACGACTTGCTTATTGACGCAGTCCACAACACATCCTCTTTTTGTTTCGGGCCGCGCTTTCATCCATCAGATGATGGTTATCATTAGGTTAAGAACCTACTGTCAACTCGAGATTTTTACAAGAGTGAATTTCAGGTCTGATGATGTCCGTCATATGTTGGATTAAAGTTCAGCTCTGTTTCACAAGAATCGAAGGAGGATGCCTTATCACACACTTTTATATAAAATGAAAGTATTCCAAACAACTTAATTAAATGTGATCTATCTTTAGAGGTTATACCAGCCAAAGATACATTTGTGACTGGATATAGAATTACCTTTTTTCTTATTGCTTCATTACTCCATGCCTGTTGAAATGTTTCAGTACCTTTCCTATTTAGAGAATTCATTTAAAATATATTTAATTTGCTTAAATTTGGTCATTTATGTCCTGTCATCTTGGTGCTGAGGGGCATACTCTCAAGCCACATACGCTTTATAACTTAAATATTTTGCTTCCATCATACTTCCGGTAATGTTAGACTTATAATAGCATAAGATATACCTTTGGCTTGAATCCCTTTGATATTATTGATCCAATTAATTGGAGAAATTTTCAAAGTCATGTTTTATAGCATTTTTCTTAACATATTGGGTTCTCACTATCAAAATTACAAATTATTTTACATTATCTGTCCTTGGCATCGAACTTTGTCTAAAAGTATTTTTAATAGTTTTATTATTTAGATCGTAAATATGAAGATGGTGTGACCTGTTTGTTCGCAGTCTCCTTTAGCTTTGTGTTGTTCGTTCAAATTTGTTTTCGCAACTTGGTCAGAGCGTCATGGAGACCTTGTGAAACGTATCTAGGCTAATGTCCTCTGCCATTAGCCTGATTTCCAGCTTTGGAACATTGGCTTGGTTCATTCACATACGTTTTGTCGGCATCGTCAGTGAAAGGCGCCATCGTTAGCACAGAGTTACAACTTATCATTGTGACAAGTCAAGGCAATCTCCTTGACCAATTTTCTGTTCAATCGCTATGGCACCACTCCTTGCCCTCATTTTTTGTTCTACTTTCTAGTGTTACATCTCTTTCTTTTATTTTTTTTATTATTTAATTAATTTATTTATTACTAGGTAGTTGATAATCTTCATGAATCTGCCTCGCTTATTCTCTTTAGTTGCCTCATCATCTTGTGAGTGGTCATTTATCACTTTGCCACGCTGCTCTGAACAATACCGGATCGGCCATTGGATTCAATTCTACATTTCGTGGAATACCTTCCTCTCTCCCATCCAATCGTACATCTTACATTCCGTCTCGTTCTGGTGGTGGAAGAAATCAGTCTCTAGCTCTTAGTTCCGAAGTCTCGTATTCTGGAGCATCTTCAACTCCTCTCCTTTCAACGACTACTGGCACCCCAGCATCTCCTAGGTATGTATCAACCAACCGAGGAGCTCAGTTTCCCTCTTCCTATTACGCATCTGTCAATGATAGGGCCAGTAGTAATGGCTCTCGCCAATCTCGAACTGATCTTCCTCAATGCTCCCACAACGAACCAACACACGATGCGACTTTGAATACTATATCACTACCTTCCTCTTCAACTCATCTTTCTACCAGGCATCCTCTCATCGGTCAAGAAGCAGATTCACTCGTCTGGTCAATGCTTTCTGCACAGGCTGAGGATCAAGCATCATCAGCTACAGCCGCTACTGCAGCTAGTATTCTTTCCCATTTAGATACTCACAATTTTTCCAATCCCCAACCTCCTGCCCGGGGAACCAACAGCGCTAATAATGCTAACGGCGAAGATTCCACCCTCTTGCCACTGGTTTTACCATATTTAAATTATGCCTTTCCTGCCAACTATCGCAAATGGATTGATTTAGCCAGAATTTTGCATGGCCATGAACTAATGGACATAATTCTCTTAAGTCGATACATGGTTTCTTCCTATGCAAATGAAAGAATGCAAAAGCAAATGAGTCCTTTACTGGTTGGCCAAGATTATAATAGGTCTCAAGAACCAAGTTTCGGACCGGAAGAATGCAAAAACGAGGAAATAAATTCCCTTTCAGCTGAGGTCGAGTCAATCATACCCTCTGACGATGCTACCCCCCCTCAAAATAATGATTGTTCAACTAATCCATCTATTTTCATGGATACATCTGAAACATGTTTTCCGCTTGAAAATCTTGATGTGCCTGCCGATGACAATGCTTCTCGAGGTAACGTCATATCATTCTAATTAATAATAATAACAATGACAAACTATTAATTGCGCATTTATTCCTTTTTTTCTTCTTAGACTTATCAAACCCATCTCGCAACTTGCTGCCTTTAGTCCCAGAATCGGCAGAGTCCACACAAATTTCTTCTGTTAATCAAGAATCCCTTTCCACAAATATTTCCTATTGTTTAGACCAGGCTCCAGTTTCAAGTTTAGAAATAACTTCACCAGTTGACTTAGCCACCCCTCAGGCAGCGACAGAGGACAATATTTTGGTCCCTACCACTAGTGCTTCCCTAGAGCCTCCAGTCACCTCGGCAGAGCAATCTTTATCTTCTGTTGATGCTGGCTTACATGTTCCTGTGACGGATGAAGAAACAGTTCAGGCAATGGTAGATGAAGGAATGGATCCTTCATTTCTTGATGCCCTTCCTGAAGATGTTCGTCGTGAACTTATTGCTGATCATCGTAGAAACAGGCAATTAAGAGCTCAGCTGAGTACCGTACAGTTACCTGAGCATATAAATGCCGAATGGTTAACTGGTCTACCTCCTTCTATTCAAGAGGAAGTGAGTATATCTTTTAAGATTTTCATGAACCATAACTTTATTAATTGTTCTTTTTTTCATTCCTTTAATGAATTTATATATTTTCCTTGTATAATCTTTTCCACTTATTCAACAAGCCATCCTACTGTGCATCTTCCTCTAGATTAAATTTTTACAATGCCATAACGCTTATGAAGCTTGGTTTAAAAAAGCAATACTAGTTTTTTTAAAACACCTAAATGCTCTTTGCAAAAAGAGCTCAACACAGATGTGGCCTTTGCCTTATCAGTTTTATGAACCTAGAATAGATCAGGCGTTACAATAGTAAATTTTAAGTCTGACATAATATGATCATCAAAAAATTGATCGAATTTATAGAGAATTTTAGCCATCAAAATAAACTTGAATTTCTTATCCTTAACTATTCTTGCATTTGTTTTAGAAATATGGATGTTGGTAACCTTGATTTATATGCCAAGGAAAGTCGCGTTTCAAAGAATCCTGCGGCTTACAATTTCTGTGCTTACCTCTATTTCCATTAGTGCATTCTTTTTACCCCAATTCTATTCTGATTAGTTATTTATTTATGTTTACTAGTTTTGGGCTTATCATTTTATGATTATGCCAGTCTTCATTATAAATGCTCTTTTTCCTTTATCTAGGTTATAAGCTTCTTCTCTATCCCAAAACCTTTTTTCCATTAGAAACTTCATTTATGACCTTCTATCTTTAACATAAACTATTCAAACCTTTATAAGACAACTTCTTACTACTATGGACACTTATTCTATCCTAGTTATTTAGAGTTTTATGATGAAACGCACTTTAAATTGTCTCTTCCTATGCCTTTCTACAGGTTTTGTCTCAAATAATTCAAGAGCAAGCGCCCCAAAGTCGTTCAGACATCAGATCTGAAGCAATTGCTTCTAATGAGACAAACCCTTCTAATCAGCATACTGCAGCTGCTTTCTTCGATTCATTGCCTTTGTCTGTACGCCGCGAGGTACTTGCTGATCTCGAGGACTCGCAACTCGAGTTGCTGCCACCAGAAATTGCTAGTGAGGCTCGGCAATTGCGTAGAGAGGCTGAACAACGCTACTTAGAAACTGTACAGACTCGCTTAGTTGCTCCTCCTCAACTCGCAAATAGGACAGGCACACGTAATCATTAATATTATATATTTATATATGCCCTGTCTCTGACAAATAATTAACTTTGGTTTATTTATATGGTATATATATATACTCTGCTATAATCATAATGCTTTTTAATTTACCTCGGATTCTTTAGGTTGTGACTTTT